CTACACCGTACCTGAAGAGGCGGTACCGGAAGTTTCCATGGCCTGTGAGTGCCTGTGTACTGTAGTGGTCTGGCCTAATCCATTTAGCTATTAATCGTTCTCTGATGTTTCTAAAGAAGTGGAACGTGGTGCGACCCTTGCGAGAAGAATGCCACCGGGTTTGCCATACGTTGCACACTTCATTCGCTATGCGTTCCTTGACATCGTCCAGGATGGCTGGGATCTGTGTGTTTCCTATCCTCGCGTCTTTTCCCCTTCGGAGGTTGAAGAGGGCCCTGTGTTTTTCCAGCAAGATGTCAACCAGGACCGCGCCCGCTACCACGCACAGGCTCTCCCACGACGACATGCGGTATGCCGCAGTCGCCGAGATGAGAACGCGGCGCTGTATGGAGCGAAGCACCTGCAACTCCCTCTCCGAGTACAGGTCGGCCCACCCGGCGGCGGCATACGTCACTACGGGGATATACACGCCGCTGTAGATCGCGGAGAGGGCGCCGAAACGGAGCCCCCATTGGCATCTCGCAAGCCTACCAAGTTTCTGGAAGAGAGGTCCCATTTTGTCCGCTCAGGTATCGACAGTGGGTACGCACACCCATACCGCTGTCGAAGTGTACTCCTAAAGTACCGCACAGCGGCTTTAAACTTAATATTCACGTTTCCTACTTTTATATTCGGGGGTCTACTGGCCAGGTCCGTCTTGGACGGGCGGACGGCTTTCCTTTTCCTATCTGGGCGAGCTCCTCCCCGTCTGCCTATCGGGGCCCTCTTGATCCAGCCGCTCCTGAGCACAATTGCCTCAGTTTTGCGGGCCGAAATCTCGAGTTTGGCCGAGAACACCACTCTAAAATGATGTCCACAACGCGCTGACCTATCGTCTCTAGTTCCCGTCTACTGTCTCCGCATACGACGACGAGAGGTCGTCGGCGTAGGCGATCACAGTGAAGCCAAGTGACTCTAGTAGCGCGATGAGTCCATCGAACATGAGGTTCCCAGCAGTCCGGGCCGAGGACGAGCCCTGTGGGCACCCCCTCGTGGCCTGCTTGGATACCTTTCCTGACGCAATTTTGATGAGTACCTTACGATTCGCTGAAATAGCTCCGCATTACCTTAAAGCGTTTTGCGGGCAACCTTTCTCCTTCAATTAGCTAGTACTAGTGGCCACCAGACGTTGTCGAAGGCGCCCGAGATGTCGAAGAGCAGCGCCGTCACGTAATCGATGCTGAGAGGCATCGACTGCGCGTCGCAGTTCCACGATCGCCGTCTTCCGTCGACTTTCCGGGAGGTGAAGCCGAACTGTCGGCCGGAATCCGTCCCGGTGCCAGACGACGTCTGGTGTAGCCGTTTTCTTGAGGAGTTCCGAAAAGTTTCCCCTACGACGAGAGGAGACAGATTGGCCTATACGACCTTTTGGGTTTCTTTCATCTTTGTCGCCCCCTTTCAGCAGGATTCGGAGAGAACCCTCTTCCATGCTGATGGGAAGACACCTCATCGGAGGCATCCGTTGAAGAGCTGGGCTATTTGATCGGAAATGGTACGTACCGCAACCTTAAGTGCAGAAACCTCGATGAGGTCCAACCCTGGTGCCTTGTTGTTTTTGAACGTCCTCACGGCTGCTACAACTTCTTCCACCGTGAAGGGAGAGGTGTCCTCCGTGTCCGGCGCGAGTTTTGCATCTTCCCTGATGGTTCGTTGCGCGGGTGTGTCTTGTTCCTCTCGGTCGTCTGGAACATGTGCATCTAGTAAAGACTTCGCATTTTCTTGTAAACTTACTGTGGACTCCTCCCCGCGTTGTAGGGTGCTCAACACCCCTTCGACGCGCATCTTTCTAGCCTGGAGTTTGTAGACCGCGCCCCAGGGTTGGTTGTTACCGTCAGTCGTCACAAACTTTTGCCAGCTCTCTCGTTTCGAGCATTTAACGTTCTTATTGTACATTCGTAGGGCGTCGCGATACTCTTTCTGCTTACGATTACGGGCTGGTTCCTCCAGTTCCTGCTGGAAGGCTTTTCGTAACCTGTAAACAGTCTTTTTGATCCGGGTTAGTTCCTTCGTCCACCACGGGTTCGATTTTCTAAAAGCACGCTTTCTCGGCATTGACGCACTGCAGGAGTCCGTGTTGACTCCTGTGAGCGTCGCAGCCATATTTTCGACATCTTCCGCGGACTCAAGTTGCAGGTGTTCTAGCCTCGATCCAGAGAGGTCGGCCAGTTTTCCGGCGTACAACTCCCAGTCGGCTCGACGAGTGTCAAACTGAGTGTTTGCAGTACATCGTTCAACCGCGCTGGCTTTTGGCACCCTCAGCCCGGTGTCCACGGCATTGTGATCGCCGTTCGCCCAGTCACACCTAACTCTCTAGCTTCTGATGAAGTATAGCATGGAGGGCGACGCCAGAGTGACGTCGATGAACGACGAGCCTCTGGGCGTCCAATAGGTCGGTGACTGCGAAGTGTCGTTCACAACTTCCATGCCAAACGTCCGGATGAGCCCCTCGAACAGGGCGCCTCTATCGTCGGTGCTCTGGGGACCCCAGAGTGACGACCGTGCATTGCGTCTAACGAAACTACAGTCTCTCCCCCCTTAGTGAACGGAACACCACCTCAAGATGCTTGAGATGCTCCTCGATTTCGTCGCTGTACTGAAAATAGCACGAGACGGCGTAAAACGAGAAGTCGGGGGTCAACACTTCCACGCATACGCATTGGGTTGTGCTAAGTTGCGAGACAAACACTGCATCGAAGCTCGAGTTGCACACCACGACAGCAGCTCCCGGAGGGTGCGACCTTGTGGCTGCGACTCTTGCCTCCGGACCCTAATCCGCCGATGGTATAGCTCGTACCGTGCTGCCGGACGTATGGTTCTTGTAATACAGTACGTCCAGGTGCTTTTCCGTTACGAGCTGACGTACCTCACCCATCACTGCAGCTGAGCGCTGGGCGTTCAGTTGCAGTACTCTAATTCCCGTGGTGGTTGTTGCGGGCGCGGACCTGCGCGGTCAGTTTCGCGATATATTTATATTACTGTCCATAATCGGTTCTAGACAGTATCTGATTCATCGCCGCAACATGCGATGGGCACTCCTTGTCGGTAACGCTATGATTATGTGTTTTACCTGCTTCTTGCAATTTACGCACGTTGCCTGCCTGGTTTTGTTGGGACAGTTTTTAAATGCGTGTCCCGCCTCCGTGCAGTGGCCTCATACGTCGGTTTCGCTCCTGCAGTGTTTGGTTGTGTGGCCGTCGCTTTGGCACTTGTAGCACCTTGTCGCCGCGATGAAGTCCTGCACCTGGCAGCACTTCCACATCAGATAGAGGCGCTCTTTCTTCACTAGGAGGTTTCGGAGTTTCTTTGAAGTTTCCAGTACTATATTGCAGCACTCTTTGTTGTTTTTATTCCCTGTCTTGAATGCAACTTTTAGTTGCTGTTTGTATTTTGCTGCCTCTTGCGCGTCTAGGTTCTGGTCCACTATGGCCTGGATGATTTCTTTGTCGTCATCTCTTCGGGGGGCGCCGAATATAATAATTCGAGGGCTTTTCTTTGCCGGCACATCTACTGAGAAACCTGCGGCTTTTAGCTTCTCGTTTCTCATAAGTGCTTGCATGTTGGATGCTGTGGCAGTTTCCACGGCTGTACCGTTCCCTTGGACTCGCCTGACATTTTTCACCTTAAGGTTTTCTTCCTTGGGTGATACCAGCGTTACTAACGCCTGCTTTGTCGCCTCACTGTCTTTGTACTGCGTGACGTCTTTGGGTCGTATGATTACGACGTTCGGTGGGTTCTGGTTGGAGAGCTCCGCGGTCTTGGATTTGATCCCAAGGTGTTCCGCGTACGTTGTCTTCTGCTGTTGTGGCATTGCGATAACGTTTTTCTTTACCTCGGCAAGCTGGTGTATTTGCTGCATGCTCTGGTTTTGTAGTGCTGCGATTTGTCCCTCTAGATTGCTATTCAGCAGCAAGGATTCCTGCAGCTTGGTTACTTGTTAATAAGATACTTACCTGTTGACGGATCGATTCCGTATTTTGGACACGATACGACTTCCAGAAGTTTCCTCTCAATTGCCTCCGCTTTCTCCATAATTTCGAATACCGGTCCTCGTTGATGGGCGTTCGTGGTATTTGCGCTCCCTTCCTTGTCGCTGATCCTCTTCTTCGCTTCGTTCCTGCATTCTGTTTCGGACGCACCGGATTTCGCTTCCTCATTCCGTTTCCGCGGGCGGTGCAGGTCAGTGTCGGGGGATTTTTTTCTCTTCTTGACGTATTTCGACTTTCTCCGCACGGTAATCATATGTTCCGCGTCGGAAGTCTCCACGTCGACGTTCATGGTGTCTCGCGAGGTGTTTGCTGCCGTTTCCTCGGTCTTTCCCAGACGTCGTTGTTGTGTCCAGGTTACCTTCTTGATTGGTAGATGGTGTTCGCGTAGACCAATGTGCGCGTTTCGTTTGCTTAGCGTCGGCCAGTCCGGTGCTCGGATTTCTGCTGACGTGAGCCAATCAGAAACGGGCACGTGGTTCGCCGGCGCGACGCACAGGTGGCGCTTGTGTACCGCGTCGGAAAATGGCCGCCAAGATGGCATGCAAGATGGCGTCCAATATGGCTGCTTACCTACAACGAAAAATCTTACACTAAAGATGCTATTTCTAGAACTTACCTTTACTGTTTTCGCTACGATTTCTGTACTGAAAGTATCAGAGTGTACAGTGATTCGGCACGAATTCTTCTGTACGCGCAGCGGCACTGGTGTGTTAGGCGGCTCCGAGAAAGTGGGCTGAGACTCGGTTGGTGTGAGCAAACCGACACGTGGCAACGCCCTGCTCGGTTTTTCGCACTTTCCTCCTCACAAGATTCGAGTTTCACGGAACTTAATGTCTTTAAACGATCACTAGCACTCGATTTACACGTTAAAACACAGGGTATAATTATCCTGATAAAAGATCCACCAAAAACTGAATGAATTCGCGGAGCGACGTAAAGCGCGTCAGTCCTCGAGTAAACCAAGATGGCGTCTCCAGTAGATAGGGATAGAAGGGAATCTCGTTAATCCATTCATGCGCGTCACTAATTAGATGACGAGGCATTTGGCTATTTTTTTTTTTTTTTTTTTTAAGATGGAGAAATGCGTTACGCATACCAGTCGGATGTTGTTGACCGGTTATGTGGGACTCACCCGTTCTGGCAGGGCATACCCACTAAAACTCCATCGCATTATGCCTGAGATGGCAGGTAGCACCAGGAGCTGCGCGATTCCACTTTTCCTCGCTTAACCCACTCCTGTTCTCGGTACGATGTTATTGCGGACATTTGTTGTCTTATTGTACCTCCAGAAAGCATTGAGTCCGCCTACTAGGACTCGAGTTGCGATGATCTTCAACTCCTTTTTCTTCAGTATGCCGATGTTCAATAATTCTGTGGCAGACTTAGCACCCCATACCCCACAGTAAGAGAGTGTGGCGGTATAATATGATACGTCGCGTACGGCGTATCGGTCCTTGATGGTCTCTTTGAGCGGTTCGTACTTCTCGACCTTGTTCATATGTGCCATGTCCAGGTCAATATGTTCGCTTACAATTTGTGTATCCAGCACGATGGCTTTGTCCCGCTGCTTCGCAATAAGGTCGGGTTTTCATTTACCTTCTGTGGTAACGAAGAGAGGCTCCTCATCAACCTTTTCACATTTCTTAACTAGGGCTCTTTTGACATAAAGTTATGCCTCAATTCTGGCCCTATATGTTCGATGACATTGCTGGAGAACGTGGTTAAGTGTTTCCACTGCGTTACAGCCGCCTCTACATAGGCGATTTTTCCTTCGCCCTCGCGTTGTGCGAGACCTGGTCGGCATAGCAATAATGCGCAATTTCGTCGCGTTGACGAACCCTCTTCCACTGAGAAATTTGCTTCCGTCAGTCACCCACTGGTATTGCTGTGGTGTCTTCTTTGATTCCCTTAATCCTTTGCCATCTATGGACCCGTGTAACAAGGTGGCCCATCTCTTTTCGAGCGATTCCGAAGAATCATAGTCAACGTGGTTTTCTGTCAAGCGTTTTGTTACGCGTTGAAGTTCTTGAGTGAGGTAGGAGTTGACTGCTTGGTCTACTCCGATAAACTTTTGCAGCCTCACTCTTCTATGAAGTGGCATGACCTCACTGATGGTATTGACAGTCCTCCATCGTTGGCTTTCGCATGAAAGTACGCATTGGGGACATCATGCGGGAGGCCCAGCCATTTCCTCGCCGCTTCTCGTGTCATGGTATCGATTTTCTTGAGCCTGCTTAACGTTGTGTTGCCCAGGGTGAGTAGGTGATATAGCCCTGGCAGCACCAGGACACGTAGCGCAAATAGCCTCTGCTGGGGCTTTAATGGCGCTCTTGTAAGTCTGTCCAATGCATCTTGCGGTTGTTCTTCGGGCTTGGTTAGGGTACGACCCTCAGGTGTAAAAGGTATACCAAGATATTTCCATTCGCTCTCTATCTTCATTGCTGGCAATTTATGGCCTCGGCACTGAAACTGCGTTTTACCGTCTACCACCGACTTCGTCATATGCGGCACTGTTCTTAGGGCCACCGTAAATGCGTTTATGAATAAGCCACATTTTGCTAGAAATTCAGACGCGGTGTTGATCATTATCTGCAGGCCGTTCGGTGTTGTAGCAAAGGACATCATATCGTCGGCGAAAATTAGGGCGTTATAATAAACATTGTCTATGGAGTCGCCAATTTCAGGTGGAATACGCCGTAAAAGCCTATCGATTATTATGTTAAATAAAATGGGAGACAGGGGCTCGCCCTGTCTAACACCTCAAGTTGGATGTATTTCGTCTGATTCCCAGTGTTTGTGAAAGAAAGCATCGCCAACAAATTATTAATAATTAAATTAAACATTTATTGTAATAAAAGGAAAATACATTTTAACAATCGTAGAAAATAAAAGCCGTTCTAGAACAATCTCGCACTAAACCGGACAAAAAGAAAAGAATCGCAAAAAACTGTCGAACGCGGAGACGAAAAAAGGGCCTGACCCCGGCCTCCGCGCCCCACTCTCCGGCCCGGCACGGAAGAGTGTCAGGCTCTCACACATAGGCAAGTCTCGAGACATATTACCAAATAAGGTAATAAAAAGGTCACGGAGCCCCCTAATTGGCGCTCGGGAGCTCCGTGAAACAAATCCATGTGCCTGCCGGAATCGATAAAAGAGCCGGAACAACAAAGGCGACTAGAACAATTAAAGTAACAATTCTTGGCGAGCGAGTACGGTATTTTTCGAAGTTCAAACAGAGTTGCGCGAACAGTGACTTGTAAGCACCAGCCTCCGCGGTAATCGGCTCTTTGTATTAAATAAACAATCCTCTAGACAAAGTGAAGCGCATTTATTTAAACCCGATTCACTAGCGGCATAATAGTGCGGCAAAAGCCAGTAATAAAATTCGCAAACACCCAGCCATTGCTCGTTAGTATGGTTGAGCTTCTATTATAGGTGTCCATTATGTACTCCACCAAAGGGCTAGGAACACCCTTGATGAGGAGTGAGTCTCGAATTGTGTTGTGCGAGACTGAATCAAATGCCTTAGCAATGTCAATTGACGCCATATAAAGTGGTTTGAAGATTTGTCGATGGTGGCGAAGTATCATGTCTAGGTCAAATGTATTTGAAGCACATCCATCGGTTGGTAGGAAAGCCTTCTGTCTCTTATCCAGTTCAATTGTTTTCAGCAAACGCGTCGCAAGCATTTTATGGAAGGTCCTTGTTAGGACCGATTGAACTGTTATGGGCCTGTAATCTTCCGGATTTTGAGCACCGTCCTTTTTTGGTATAAGCGTTTTTTTGCTTGGAGCAGGTGCCTCGGCAGTTTTCCACAAAGCAAGAATAAATTAATAATTCTTACTAAGATATACAGTGGGATTGCTCTCAATTGCCGTGATGAAAGTCCGCCTGGGCCCGGACTGGTGTTTAATTCCGGAAAGGATTGTTTAATTTCATCAATAGTTACAGGCCACCATAGGTGGTTGATTACTGGCTGCTTGCTCTCACTTTCAGGGGATGTGTTAGTCCCATTAGTCATAGTGGTACGCCAGAATTGAGTCATTTCCTGCTTGACAGGTGGAGTTGCCTCAGTTTTTCCCTTAAGAATAATTCTTAGGCATTTGCAGGGATTCTTCCGCCAGGCTCTTTACGTTTTAGCGTACTCGACCCGTCTGGCTTGCCTTTTGGTAGTTTTGCGTTTTGGCGTACTGTGTGAGGCTTTAGTTTGCTGCTTTGGCTTTAGCGGAAGAATGTGGAGCAAATACAGTTCCAATTCTTCGTGTATCTTTTCTTTGGACCAGATGGATATGTTCTCACAGATTCTCCCTAGACGATCTACCTGGAATTGATTGCCACTGAGTGGCTTGAGTTGCCTAAACAGGTCCTCAATAGAGGCCAGTAGGTCATATTGCGTAGGTGACTCAGGTTGGATGTTCACCGTTGTGTTTACCACTGTAGTTTCTTCCGTCAATTCCTGGATTAGTTGGAGCACACGCTCCTTGTGCCTTAGAGATTTTCTTTGGCCTTTGATGGATTCAAGTGATCTGTTCCTGAAGAATGGCATCTATGCTTGATTTATGAATCTAACTCCATCAAGAACCAGCTGCGCCTCCTGCCGTGCCAGGATGGCCAGCTCTTCTGCACTCCATGGTGCCTTTTTGTGGTCGATTGTCTCGACTTACCGTTGGTCGTGCCAATTTTTGTGAGCTCGCTGCTCATGCACACCTCACCCTCTCGAGGTTGTGAAAGACCGTCCGCATTCCGGATTTCTACAGAGGTAGATGTCGCTTGGTCCAGCTTCCTCGGTCCAAGTCGGGCCGGTAGAGCCTGTGCACCCTCCGGTTACAATAGAAGAATTAATTTCATTCGATGCTTGACTTTTTATAATTGGGCCGACATAATACGGTCGAGCGGGCTGGCAACCCTGCAAGGCCGGTGTTTCGCAGAGGCAGCTCTTAGTTTCTCCCAACCCTCCATATAAAGAAAGGAAGAGATACTGGTGGCGGGAACCAACGAAGAGGTGGCTGCTTGCTTAACTACGACTCGTAGGACTGATCTCGGATACTAGGGCAAAGCCCCGACACCTCAAACGACCGCCTACGGGGGCCTGCATCGAGAAAGGGAGATCCAATCTCCTAAGACCTTGCGCGAAAATAGCCAACAGCCAGCAGCATATTGCTTTTGGCGTATGACTTTTAAGAGAGTCATAGTTACCCCGCCGTTTACCCGCGCTTTTTTGAATTTCTTCACGTTGACATTCAGAGCACTGGGCAGAAATCACATTGCGTCATCACCCGTGAGGGCCATCGCAATGCTTTGTTTTAATTAGACAGTCGGATTCCCCTAGTCCGTGCCAGTTCTGAGCTAAGCGTTGAATGGCGGCCGAAGAAGCGACCACGACGGCGTTAACCGCCACGGAAGCCTCGCAGCAAGGAAGATCCGCGGAGGCCAAGGCACGGGACCGAGCTCGGATCCCGGGACGCGACCGAAGTCGCCAACCGTTCACCTCGCCCAGGCCCGGCACGTCAGCCAGACCCGCTTCCCGACCAAGCCCGACACAGCCCCGCTCCTCAGAGCCAATCCATATTCCGGAAGTTACGGATCCAATTAGCCGACTTCCCTTACCTACATTAATCTATCGACTAGAGGCTCTTCACCTTGGAGACCTGCTGCGAGATGGGTACGAACCGGCGCGACACCTCGCACGTGGACCTCGTCGTCTGATTTTCAAGGTCCCGAGGGGAAGATCCAGACACCGCCGCAACTGCGGTGCTCTTCGCGTTCCAAACCCTATCTCCCTGCTAGAGGTTTCCAGGGAACTCGAACGCTTATACAGAAAAGAAAACTCTTCCCAGATGTCCCGACGGCGTCTCCAGGTCATTTTGGGTTACCCCGACGAACACTCTTACGAGGGCCCGAATGGTATGCGGTTCCGCTGGGGGTTCCGGAATAGGAACCGGATTCCCTTTCGCCCAATGGGTGTGCATCTCTGCAACTACTTCTTATAATTCGATTTAGCCATATTTAACAGTTTTGTTGTTGCTTTTTAACTGAGAGCTTTAGGACACCATTTACATAGGATTTCTCTTAGGACTTAGGATCGACTGACTCGTGTGCAACGGCTGTTCACACGAAACCCTTCTCCACGTCAGTCCTCCAGGGCCTCGCTGGAGTATTTGCTACTACCACCAAGATCTGCACCGACGGCGGCTCCAGGCAGGCTCACGCCAGACCCTTCTGCGCACACCGCCGCGACCCTCCTACTCGTCAGGGCTTCATGGAGGACCAAATTTTGTCCAGCCCCACTTGCCACTGACGGCGGAGTATAGGCGCGACGCTTCAGCGCCATCCATTTTCAGGGCTAGTTGCTTCGGCAGGTGAGTTGTTACACACTCCTTAGCGGATTCCGACTTCCATGGCCACCGTCCTGCTGTCTTAAGCAACCAACGCCTTTCATGGTATCCCATAAGCGTCGAGTTAGGCGCCTTAACTCTGCGTTTGGTTCATTCCACAGCGCCAGTTCTGCTTACCAAAATTGGCCCACTTGGCACTCTGATCCAATAATAAAAATCTCATGGCTTCATTTGATGCAAGCAAGCCAGAGATCTCATCCATTTAAAGTTTGAGAATAGGTTGAGGTCGTTTCGGCCCCAAGGCCTCTAATCATTCGCTTTACCAGATGAGACTCGCAATAACGTTCGAGCGAGTGCCAGCTATCCTGAGGGAAACTTCGGAGGGAACCAGCTACTAGACGGTCGATTAGTCTTTCGCCCCTATACCCAGTTCCGACGATCGATTTGCACGTCAGAATCGCTGCGGACCTCCATCAGGGTTTCCCCTGACTTCGTCTTGACCAGGTATATTTCACGATCTTTCGGGTCCCAAGTGTACGCTCTAGGTGCGCCTCTTCGCGCAATGAGAACGAGACGCCCCGAGAGTGCAAGGCCTAATCGTAACGAGGCCCATCCTCCCTAGGTCGACGCAGAGGACGACATTCACTTTCATTTCGCCTTTAGGTTTATTTATATCCCAATGACTCGCGCACATGTTAGACTCCTTGGTCCGTGTTTCAAGACGGGTCCTGAGAGTACCCAAAGCAATAGCGTCGCCGACCGGTAATTCATAGCTTGGCCAGTCCAAGGACTCCTCCTGCTAACAGCTGGCCAGACCCGGGGACGGCACATAGTCCGTACATCCGGGTATTATAACTGGACCTAGCTTGCGGCGGTCCTGACGCACACACATTCGAAAATGGATTGGTTGCGGCCCGATACCGTCTGAGTACCGTCGCGCAGTCGGCCAGGCAACCGAGGGTTTGTCACGAACACCGTTAAGGTGACGGACAGGCTCCGCCTCGGACCGTAGACCGACACGCAACGGGTCGCGACAAGTGCACGACTACCTCGCCGGAACGTTCGCCGAAGGTGGTGTGTCCTCGCTAATGGAACCCGAAGGTTCATCCGGGGCATCGGTGGGACGTGACAATTTGTCCCACCTTAAGGGTGTTTATTTTACTGTTACTACGTTCCTCGGGTTCTGCCGATTAAAGCGCTAAGGCATACCTTCACCTTCCTCGCGTGTAGTATAGGATACAGGATAGGGCGTTCAGTAATTGTAGATACACATATATGGGTCTCCAATATATAATATTCTGTCTCTGTAGTTACATACCCTTCGTTGACTTGAGGTGTTGTATGCCGCTCGCATGTTCTCGTATCACTCGCTGGTCATTCACACTAGAGGCCTTGTTTTACACTTACTTCTCGTTTCGGACCGTACACTAGACTCGCGGCGCGTGGCTACGACTCGACTTTGGAGATACAAGTGGTTGGTGGTGGTCCTGCACAGCACACGAGTGCACTCCTGGACTTGGTCCAATTATGGGTCTGTTATCTCAGACCACGGCGATACACTCGTGTTGAATCGTCGGCCGAGCACGTCGTCGATGATCTTCCTGGTTTCGAGTAGCCTTACACGCGGGTCTACTGCGGGTCACGAACGGACAGAACTTCGGTCTCTGCTATACGCTATCACGGAACTGGCGTACCTGCGTTGCGCCGATAACTTATACTCCCCAAAAGGGGAGTAGGTCACGCTCCTTGCTTACGAAAACCTGCAAGCAAAGGGTTTTCGCCATCGCATTCCGCGAGTTCCCCGATTTGGTATTGCGGACGTCGCTAAGCGAGAAAACGCTGATGTTTCGCGGATTCCAGAGCAAGACCTCCTTGGAATGGCGAAAGACGAAAATGGGTTATAACTAGGGACGTAACAGTATGTTCGCCGATTACTCCGAGACGGGTGGACCAATCGGAACGAAACCTTTGCATCTTCTAAAGTATGTGCCCCGATTGGTCCCGTTAAAAAAACATTTTGCATTTTCTCATTCCGAACGGTTTTTATTGCAAAAAAACATACTATTTCATGTACGTGCGCCGTACGTTCGCCGATTACTCCGAGACAGATGGACGAATCGGAATGAAACTATTTGCATCTTGTAGAGTATTTCTCCCACTTGGTCTTGTCGAAAAGACATTTTGCATTGTTTCATTGCTAACGATTTTTTTGCAATGAACGTAATGCTTGATTTACATTTTTCACCGATTGCCGCGAGACGGATGGACCAATCGGATCGAAAATTTTGTATCTTGTAGAGTATATCTCCAGATTGGTCTCGCAAAACAATTTTTGTGTTTTTTCCTTTCTAACGACTTTTATCGCAAAAAACGTAATACTTCATTTATATCTTCTGGCGTTTATGCTGCAGGGAATGTACCGATTGCGATGACACCTTCCACATTTAGTAGCAGGTATATCCGCGATGCACCCACTTGCAGAAATTTATGAAATTTGTTAATAACAACTGTTATAGCAAAAAATCTATTCTTCCGTGGTACTCTGCAAGGATGTATCGTTCGCGATGAAACCTTTCATATTTAGTAGGATATACAGGGTGTTACGCGACTACCTCGATAGCCGAAGTGGGTTGATTGCTAAGGTGATTCTAAATACTTTTTTCCTTTGGTCCATCCGTCTCGGCGTAATCGGTGAACATAAAAAAAAAAAAAAAAAAAAAAACACATACACATCGAATTGAGTATCCTCCTCCTTTTCGAAGTCGGATAAAAAAGTATAAATTATATGAAAATGAAGCTATTGATTATTGGTTAATTAAAGTTTGATTAAATGATTCGATGATTCGAGCGACGATGTTCTGTGAAGAATTAAGCGCGAAAAAGAAAGAAAGAACGGTCCCAGAGGGTAAATTACCAGAGCCAGGGTTTCGTGGGGCCGTCTTCTTTGCGTGTGAATCGGAATTTATTTAATAACGTTAATTTTCGATACCTTGAGTCTCTATACTGAACGGAACGATCTAGAGGGAAACTTTCCAGAATACATGGTTTCGTAGAACGCCCGTTTTGCCTCACTACGTCCAGATTCGACCTCTGTGAAGTTGGCCCCTCATTATCAAAAATTTGAAAAATTGATAAGAGTTCTGAATGCCCCCTCTAAGAGTTCTAGAGTTCTCTATCAGTTTTAAAAATAGTTCCGTCGATTAAAGTACCGAAAATAGCATTTGAAGGTATGGGGGGTCCAACTGCTCATTTTCGCAACTTTGAAGAACTATAACTTTTTGCTATTGTTACGTCCGGATTATTTTCAATAATTAACAGTGTTGAATAGTTTAATCGTATAATATACTGAATTTGTGTACCTCGTCGGTGCGCAGCACTTGGAGATCCCAGGCGAGGCACACAAAGGAGGCTATAATTAGTCCTTTTCAACAATAAGAAGTTAACCTTCCTTGGGACGATTGCCTTGTCGAAACCGCGTAGCAATAAACACACAGAAATTCGAAATCGCTAAGGTTAAGGAGAGGTACTATCAACGTCTTCGCCACGCGGTTAAGCAGTGCGACGCACTTGGAAGTTTCCCAGCTTAACCGCGCGGAATAAGGGAAATACGATTTTTGTTTTACTTCGCAACGAAGTACCTATCCTACCTCCAAAGCATGCGTCAGCCGGACCTTCCACGAGGAGTGCATGTGATTTAGAACAGAACAATTGGAATCTAACGGAATGAAACTATTTGAATGATATTAGAATGCGAGGGTTTGTCTGACAACCGCTGTAGTTCGAAATCGTTCACGAATGTTTGAGACAAAGGTCGACCGAGTCTATAAACATCGTCGTTAAACGTTAAACGTAGAACGTTCGAATGTACGTAAATCGTCGAAATACGAATAGGAATGTTAATAACTAATAAGAGCGGAATGAATGTTAATTAAATGCGACACGCATGTATCCAATTTGTCGACGATTATAAAACACCGGCTGCATCTCGCGTAAACCGCTAAACAACAACATTAACAGAACAATTAACGTATGAATAATAATTAACGATATTCAACTAATGGTCATTCAAACTAGTAAACCAAATTTTTAATAAAATGAAGACCTCTTTCGATACCGGAAATATCATGATAAAAGCCTCTTTAATTAGCAAATTCAAATAAATTAAGTCGTAACAGATTTCGAATATTCCAGAACTTTAGAATTGCGACGCATGAAATCCGTTGTAGCGTTAGAGGGGTAGAAAGAAATGGACAACCTTAGACGAAGGTAGAAGGAAAAGCCAGGAAGGGATGAGGGAACTAGGAAGAGCGGCCAACTAGCCCAATACGCCCGGGATTTCCCCTCCGTC